CAGGGATCCCCGTGCCGCGCATCAGCAGGTCCGCTAGCTTCATGCCGTGCAGCGCTGCGTCGAGCTTCTCGAGCAACTTCGACAGGCCGCCTCTGGTCTGCTCCGTCCTCGCCCATTTCCAGTCATCGTCCTCGTCGATGGACTTGAGGATCGCCTTCGCGTTCGTCTGCTTCTCCTTGATGTCTTTGACCAGCTTGGCTGCGTTCTGCAGCGCCTCCTGGCTCTCACTCCTCGGCTTCGGCACTGGCCGTGCGCGAGCATCAGGCGTGGGCGGCGCAGAGGCTGCAGCAGCAGGAGCTGAAGGACTCGTCGTCTGCTGCTTCGTCAAGGCCCACTTCTCCCTGAAGGCCTCTTTGTACTCCTGCTGGAAGTGCATGTATTTCACGATGCCCGTGCGCTCGTCCAGGCGCGCATACGGCCAGCTCAAATCCAGGCACTGAGAGCATGCCTGCGCGCACCCCGCGATCGTCTCGGGATCGCTCTGGCCCGCTGGCCCCCCCTCCTCGTACAGCATCCTCAAGAACGTGACGGGCTTCCCCCTGCTGAGGAGCTCGTCCTCGGTCTCCTTGATCATCGTCTTGGACTCCTGGATGAGACCCTTGATCTGCTTCTCCGCCCATTCCTTCTTCAGCGAATCCTTCTGGGACGCGAGGTCCCACCTCTTCTTGAACTCCTTCTGCTGCTCAGTCTGGGGGGCCTGCAGTTCACGCTGGAGGCGGTTGCCAAGCGCGGACCTCATGTCGAAGTGCTCAGTGTAGCCGCTGTCCATGTACGCCTTCAGGGCATCGTCACCTACTTTGCGGCGCGCACCTGTCCGCCTCCAGTCCTTCGCCGCCGCGTCATCGGCCAGTCCTGAGGGAGGGCCCAGCAGCCTCGACTTGTCCGACATGTCGACCATCTTCTGCAAGCCCTGAATCGCCTTGGAGAACTTGTCGGGGGTGGATTCCACGGCATCCTTCGGCTGGCCGCCAGCGGGCGTGAACGGCGTCGAAGGCGCACCAGCCCCTGCCGCCATCGCCCCCGCGCGAGGAAACTCGCCCTCGGAGCCCGTCACCGCGCTCAGCCTCGCGCCCGCCGCGGACAGCTTGGCGCGCGCCTCGGCCAAGGCGTCGGGCGCGCCACTCGGCTGCGCGAAACCAGGGTGGCTGTCGACCAGGCTCGCGCTCTCCGTCGGGCTGTGCGCCAGTGCCAGCTGCGTCTCGCCTCGGCCTCCGTCGAATGCAAGTTCGATGGTGCTCCTCCTCGGTGGCCTCGCGCGCCCGAACTGCTCCGCCTCCTCTGCCCACTTCTCCGCCGCCTTGCGCTTCCCCTCGGCCTCCTCCCTGAGGGCGTCCGCGACGCCAGTCTGGCGTTCGCTCTCCGCCAAAGCAACACGCTGCTGCTTGAGCTGCTCATCGAGGTACTTCTTCTCCTTCGCCCAGCCTTCCTTCGCCTGCGTCATCTCCATGTCGAGGTCGGCCTTCACCTTCACCGCCTCGGACTTCTGCTTGTCCAGATCGCTCTTGATCTTCGCCTTCTGCCCCTCAATCTCCACCGCGTATGCGTCGAAAGCGTCCTCCGCGGCCTTCTTCTTCGATATAACCCATTCGCCGATGAGCCGACACTCCTCCTTCCAATCTTCAATCTTCGCTTCTAGCTCGGCTTGCTCCTGAAGGGCCATGCTCTTCCTCTCCTGCTCGGCATCGACCTGCTTCGTAAACTCCTCTGTCAAGTTGTTCAACGAGTTCTTGGCCTGCTCCACTTCGGCCTTGATGTCGTCCCTGACCTTAATCAGCTGCTGCGTCTCATCGAAGATCTTCTCTTTGGCTTTCACCCTTTCCCGAAGCCTCGCCTTGCGATCATCTGGCAAATCTGCGTCCTCGATCTCTGCTCTCTTCTTCTCCGGGATCATCTGCAGCTCGCTCTCGGCCTCTTGCTTTTCCTGCTCCAGCTTCTCCTTCTCCTGCTGGATGTCCTGCTTCATCTTGATGATGTTCTTCGCATCCTCCTCCAGAGCGGCGAGCTCGTCGTGCTTCCTCTTGCGCGCGACCTCCAGGAGCTGGTGCTTTTCCACTAAGGTCACGTTGCCAGTCTCGGTGTCAGGCACTCCATCCCATAGTGTACCATCCTCCGCGGTCCCCTCACGAAAGGCGTCGGCATCGACCTCCTCGCCACTAGACTTGTCGACCTCCATCGTCGGGGCGAACCTCGCCTGCAAGTCTGCTGGCGCGGCCGTGAATCCCTGGAGCTCGGCGCGCCTCTCCGCCAACTCGGCGGCGCTCGCACCTGCGGGCTGGCAGAGGTTACCGGGCAGCCCGCCTCGAGGCCACCCCCAGCGCGGGGCCCTCTCGGGGCCTCGGGCCCACCGCGAAGCCTGAGCAATCGCTTTGTCCGAGAAAAAAAAAGGGGAGTTTCTGAGGGGGAGGGGGGGGGAGGTGCGATATCAGCGGTCATCAACGGTCATCAGCGGCCCTCAGCGGTCTCGGCTGACCACCGCTGAGTTCAACGCTCTCTTCGGCGGCACCAGCCTAGTCGCCACTCGGACGGCGGGCGGACATCGGGCCTCTTTGATTCCCAGGGAACCCGAACCAGCGGAGGGCTCGACTTGAGAAGCCATTGCAGGCGCCGTGCCCGCCGTCAAGGCGGGGAGCGGATCTGGGAACAGTTCAACGCTCAAATGCCTGGGAGCCCTGACACGGGCTACGGATCGAGTCAACGTGCCCTGATCGGGGGGGCCAGCGGAATGAATTGCGGGTCGAGGGGGTCAGGGGCAAAACATCATCACTGACTTGGTTCGCTTCTGGCGCCCCCCTCACCGCCACGGCTGGATTGGCATCGTATTTGAATCCAGAACGCGCCGGGCACTTGGGCCCCAATCCTCGTCACCCTCCCGATGCCTGGCATTTTTATTAACATGCATAGTCAAATGCACCTTCGAACTCGGCAAGGGCCTCGACGGGCCGCGAGGGGAATTTCTAAATTCGGAATGCCGCGGGGTCCAAGCCGAGATTTCCACAGATGTCTCATTTGGGCCTTCGGGGGCCCTCCTGCTGGACGCAGCTCGGCAGGGTGGTCAGGATCTAGACTGGGCATCGACGCCCCTCGATGTTTTTTTTTAATTGCTTGCATTTTCTCACATCCTTCACCGAGCGCGAGGCCCAAGGTCACGAGAGCATTCCTAGGCTACCTCCAGGGCCCTCCATCTGCGGGTAGTCGGACTCCTCGGGGTCGTCCTTGGCGGCGGGCTTCTTGGCGACGATCGTGCTCCCGCCGCGCGGCCTTGGGGGCTGGGCGAGGCGAGGAGAGCCGATCGGGGTCGATGAGGTTGCTGGGGGGAAGGGGGTGAGGAGGCGGGATAAGAGGAGGAGGATGAGGAGGGGGATAAGGAGGGGGAATAGGAGGAGGAGGAGGAGGAGGAGGAGGAGGAGGAGGATGAGGAGAAGGAGGAGGACGGGGGGAGGAAGAGGAGGACCAGGAGGAGGAGGAGGATGAGGAGGATGAGGAGGAGGAGGAGGAGGAGGAGGAGGAGGGGAAGGAGGAAGAGGAGGAGGATACCGTTTTGGTTCTCTCTCGGGCCTTCCAAGGCCCCGTGGGGGTGGGGTGGGTGGGGGGAACTCGTGCGTTCAGGGTGTTGTGTATGGTGATTTTTGACCACCCCGAGCCTCTTCATCGCTGGCTCCTCTTCTTCCTCCTCTTCCTCCTCGTCCTGTTCTTCCTCCTCCTCCTCTGCTTCGCCCTCCTCCTCTGCCGCGCTCGGCTTCTTCGCCGCAGCCAGCCTTCTCCTGCAGGCGCCGTCGGGCTCGTCCATGTGGTCCACTTCCTCGTCCTCTTCGCGCTCCTCCTCTTCCTCTCCCTCCTCCGCGCCGCCTTCATCATCAGGTTCTTCTTCCTCCTCCTCCTCGGCTTCCTCTGCGCCCTCGTCGTCGCCTCGGCCATCTCCGCCGACGGCTGCAGCTGGTCTCTTTGCCGCGGGCTCGGCTGCAGCGCCAGGCCTTTTCAGGGCCGCTGCTGGTCTCTTCAGCATGTTCATCCTGTTGAAGTCGTTGTCCAACTGCTTCTTCTTCGTCTTCGCCTCGTCCAGCGTGAGCACCCCGCTGCAGAGGTCCTGCGCGACCTGGGTCATCCACGCGATGCACCTGTCCCTGGCAGCACCTTGTACGCCATCTGCAGCTTCTGCGACCCGTCGAACTTGATCACCATTCCTGGATTGTGCTCGTCAAGCTGCTTCTTGACCACCGTGACCCGCACGGTGCCGAACTTGCCCGTGAACAGCGGGCCACGCTCGCGATCTCTGCCGCCCGCGGCCGCCGCCGTCTGGCCGCTCCACGCGGCCGCTGTCAAGGTGTCCAGCTCGTGCTCGTAGCCGTCGTCCCAGCGCGCGAAGGCGAACGTGCAATTCGGCTTCGTGAAGATCTGGTCTGTGGGCTCGGGCGCACGCGAGCACCGATTCCACCTCAGGGCGAGCTTCTTGCCATGGTCGTAGGCAACGTCCACTACGTCGGCCGCCGCGCCGCTGCTGCCAGGGGGTCGACTGCGATCGCTGCCGCCCGTGTCGCCGTCCAAAAGCTTGCCCTGGAGCTCGCGCAGCTGCTTCAACCACTGGGGTCGCCGTCCGTGCTGCTGCTCAGCTTTGATCGGATCGTAGAGGTGTCTGCACATGCTCCGTAACCTGTCACGGAGCACAGCTCTGCGCCGTGTTGTCTCAAGCTATTCTAAGCACCTCCATCCCTCCTTCCTCCTGCTCCTCCTCGCCTCGTATTCATCCTGTTCACCCTCCTCTGAGTTGCTCCTTCGCATCTGCTCTCCTCCGTGTCTCCTCCTTCCTCCTGCCCCCCTCCGTTTCTCATCCCCCTCGTACTCCTCCTGTTCACCCTCCTCTGAGTTCCCCTGCCCCTCGACCTCCTCCTCCCACCTCGGGGCCCTCATCCGAAGACGCCCGAGGGAGCCCTTGAGGGCCCGGGGAGGGCTCCAACGAGCCCCACACGTGAGCCAGGCATTCCGTTTTGAAAAAATGCTCAAACTTATCCCTCCTCCACCTCGTCCTCATCCTGGTTTACACCCTGAAACCTCTTCCGTGCTCCTCGGACCAACTCTCGATGGCCTCCGAGCTCATCCTCGGACCAACTCTCGATGGCCTCCGAGCTCGTGGCGGTGAACTTGTCTCTGACCACCGCCTCCAGCGCCCTCTTGGTCGGCTCCTGGTTGAAGCTCAGGTTGGGGCTCAGCGATTCCAAGTCCTTCAGCAGGTCTGCGTTGTCTAGAATGGTCTGCTGACACCTCTCGCAGAACCTGGTCGCGTATACATGTATATATATATATATATATACAAGTGCACGTGTGCGCCCAGGCCCTTCTTTTAAACAATAAAAAAACACAGAGGGTTGTTTGAAGCAGGAGTGAAATTCATCAGCGGAGTCGCACTCGAGCGGAAGTGGGGTTGCCACGCCCTGCGACGCGTGTACCAGGGCTTCCAGGAAGCCCAAGGAGGTCCGACATGGATGCCAGAAGAGGCTCCAAGAGGCCCCAGGATTGTGAGTGTTGTGTGGGTGTATGTGCGGGTGTAATATATGGTATGTGGTGTGCGTGCTTGTTGTGCGCTGTGGGTGTTGTATGTGTTATGCTTGTTTAGCGTGTGCTGTGTGCGCATGTAGTTCTGAGGCCCCAGGAGGCCCCAGGAGGCCTCGCGCGGCATCAGGAGGCACCAGGAGGCCACAGGAGGCTCCAGGAGGCCCCAAGAGGCCACATGAGGCCGCAGGAGGCCCCAGGAGGTCTCAGGGGGCCCCCAGGAGGCTCCGAGGCGGGGCCTCGGGTACCAGGATGTTCAGAAAGCACCTGGAGGCCCCAGGAGGTTCCAGGAGGAGGCGGGGTCTGGGGTACCAGAGGGCACGTCGGGGCTCGATGGTGGGACGATGTTTCAAGCGAAACCGCCATTCGCTGAGAGTCGGGGTCAACAGGATTGAGATTATCATTTAGTGTTGCAGGTTCTATGTGAACGCGTTCAACTTCCCATGTGTTTTTTTTTGTTTTGACATTGACGTCGCAATCTGCGCGAGGGGCGCCGCCGATTTCCAGAATGTCTAGGATGCCCCTAGCGAAACGACCAGAAATATCGCGGGCGCGGCGCCCCGCGCACGCATTAATCGCCTCTGAGATCGGTCGAGAGGTGCGCATGAGAATATATATATATATATATGTATATATACATGTACACATATGCAAACGTTGTGAAAGAGAGAGAGAGAGAGAGAGAGAAAGAAAGAGAGAGAGAGAGAGAGAAAGAGAAAGAGAGAGAGAGAGAGAGGCCATACACATATACATATATATATATATATGTGCATGGTTTCTCGCGTTCTCTCTCTCTCTCTCTCTCTCTCTCTCTCTCTCTCTCTTTCTATCTCCCGTTCGCATCGTCGTTTTACTTAAACTTGTAGTTCAAGTATATGCCCACGGAACTTGTCCGAGCCCGGCTTCGTGCCGTACTTAATCCACGACGGTTTGGACACGTGCCGACTCAAGACCTCTCGCAGCTGGTCGGCGTCCCCGAACCTCTGCCTGCTGCCGCCCCCGCTCTTCTCGGACCCGAGCGAGTCCGCCATATGCGGCCAGCGCGGGCCAGCGGGGCTCCTCGCGCCCTCAGCCAGAACAAGCGGCCAACGGGAGGGCGGGGGAGCGGGCGGACTCGGCACGGGGCAAAAGGGAAGAGGGCGAGGGAGCGGGGATCTCAACGCCCCCGTCCTGTTTTTTTTCCCCCTGGTTTCTTAATTGTCATCGAGCCCTCTCGGGGCCTCGTTCCTTCGGCGGCAAACTTCCCAAACTTCAGAAAAGACAGTGTGCCGAGCCCGAGACGCAGCGCTACTATACTACTACTACTACTACTACTACTACTACTACTACTACTACTACTACTACTACTACTACTACTACTACTACTACTACTACTACTACTACTACTACTACTACTACTACTACTACTACTACTACTACTACTACTACTACTACTACTACTACTACTACTACTACTACTACTACTACTACTACTACTACTACTACTACTACTACTACTACTACTACTACTACTACTACTACTACTACTACTACTACTACTACTACTACTACTACTACTACTACTACTACTACTACTACTACTACTACTACTACTACTACTACTACTACTACTACTACTACTACTACTACTACTACTACTACTACTACTACTACTACTACTACTACTACTACTACTACTACTACTACTACTACTGCTACTGCTACTGCTACTGCTACTACGGCTACTACTACTACTACGACTACTACTACTACTACTACTAATACTACTACTACTACTACTAATACTACTACTTCATGTTTCTGCTAGTGCTACTACTACTGCTACTACTAATAATAATGGTAATAATAATACTCGGACGAGTGAAACACCAGCGTGCACATCGTGCGTGCATATGCACTATATGACATTTATATATACATGCACATACATATACGATAGTGCATATACACGCATGTCATCACTGTGCAATATACACTACACATATGCATACACGATGAGTATGTTAACGTTGTGACTATGATGATGCCATGATGACTATTTTTATGATGATGGCGCACCAGCTACTTTTAACGACCTCTATAATTGTTAAGCGGCAGCAGCTATTTTAAGCGACACAACTATTTTAAGGGGCCACCTGTGTAATAGCAAGGCGAGCTCCTCAGGGTACTTGCATCATCGTCGCGGGCAGTCTCACCGCGGCGAGCGTGAACACGCGCCCCAGCTTCTCTCTTCCTCGATTAGCGAGAGCATTCGGTCGGCAGGAGGTCGGACTACTTCCCTGGAAAACATCATTTGAGCCCACCAGACCCGATGCTCGGTGCAGCGCCATGCCCCCCGTGCTTCCCATGAGTCGCACGGGCTGGCCACTGCCCCACAGGGCGCCGCCCCTCCGGCGTCACCTGGGCCCAGGCGTCGCACAGACTCCGGCCGCTTGTCCCTGCTCGCTCAGGGCCCCATCCCAGGGCATTCGCGCGCCGCGCGAACTACGGGGGGAGGCCCGAGGGCGGGCCGCTCCCATGTGCAGTCCCGAGGTTCGCGGCGGCGTCGTCCACGACGTCCTGGTCGTCGACCTCTGCCGCCTCTAGATCGTCATCTCTCACCGAAAGCCGGGGCCAGTCGTCGGATTCCTCCCCCAGCACCAGGCCTCTGACCGCTTCTAGGTCCTCCAATTCGAATTCCTCGCGACTCCTCGCTTGGCGGTTCTCGTCGGGCGACCTGCGCAGCTTCCCATCTTCGGCCACTTGTTCTTCCTCGGGACTAACCCACCGGGGCGACCAGAAACGGACCCCCGCCGCACAGTGCCCGCGCGTCGTCGTTCTTTCGGCCGAACACTGCAGCGGAGCCGAACCATTCCGGCAGGTGCACCCGACGGCCCTTTTCGGCGCGGAAAACCTTGAATAAGAAACGCCTGTTCTCAATATGCAAGGTTGCCGCGGCTCCGCCCGGCCACTGCCCGCTGGGCCAGCTCCTGGCCCCTCGTCCTGATGAGGGACTGCTGGCAGTGCTCGCGGGTCTTGAGCCGCCTGGTCAGCGGGCCACCCTCGGCGACGTTGGGCGATGGCTCGCCGCCACGCCCTCGCGCCAGCACTCGCCGACCAGCTTCGTCTTCTGTCCGAACTGCAGCAGAGACGGACTGCAGCCGCACTGACCCGGGAAAAGATTTAGAGCAGAGGCCGTCTCCCAAGCGAGGGTCTTCACGTCGCCCAGGCCGCTGTGGGCCGCATGCCGGATGCCCCTCTTCATCGCGCCTTTTGCCACCTAAATCTCGCGCTCCACCTGGCCCTCCTGCCAAGGGGCACGTGCCGCGGTCGGGTCGCAGGCGCTTCCGCCGCGCGACAGGGCGCTGCGGACAAGCCCGCGACAACCGTGGCCCCTCGCGCCGCCCCCGCAGATCTTCGCTGCCGCGCGCCCGCGCAAGCCCGATCGCGCAGTGCCCCGTGGCCGCGCCCTGCACAAATATGAACCCTGATCGCCGCTCTGATGGCTGACCATGAACAGATCTGCCTGGAACAGATCGCTGAAAGTCTGATCGCTCACGCGCAGGCGGGCCGGACGCGGGGTTGCTTGCGCGGCCGCTGAGCGCAGCTTGAGCACCGCGGCCCCCTGGCACCGGCGTCGGCCACCTCGGGCCCGCCTGCTTCCGCCGCCAGGCGCGTCAAGTCGCCCTGACAGGCGCGCCCCGCGTTGATGCGCAGCCTCCGCAGGTCCCGCCGGAGTTTGGGCGCCGCGCGCTTTTTCAAAGTCTTTCCCGCCGACGCGTCGGGGAACTGGAATGCGGTAAGGTCCGGCATGGCTGCTCCGCTGTCTATTTCTGCCGCGGCCGCAGGGTGACAAGCAACCGGAGACCCAGCCTTCCCAGGGCCCGCGCTGGCGCGCACCGTCGCGAGGCCGCGTCTGAATCGGCTGATCCTTTCCAGTTATTATCGCTGATGGCGCCTGAAACCGGCCGACCCAGCCGTTCCTGGCCTCGGCGACGGGTCACTCCATGACCTCGGCGGCGATGTCCGCACAGCCGGTGGCCCGCGACCTCGGATTTCGCAAGGCTCCGTTACTCCGCCGACCCGGTGAATCGCACGCGCCGCCGTGCACCCACCGTCTCGACCGACGGTTTGGCGGATAGTGTCTGGATGGGGTTCTCGTTCCGGACCAGAGCACAGCCTCCGAGCCTCTCCTGGGTCTCGACCATCCTCAGCGCGAACTCCTCGAGTGCTCATTGGTGCTCTCGGCTGGCCCGTTGTCTCCGCCGATCTGCGTTGCTCCCCGCCAGCATGGGCCTCGTCGACATCGAGCCCCCGCTCGGAATCTCGACCGCAGCCAGCCCGGGCCTGACCTGCGTCAACATCGCCATGGCTGCGCCCCGATTCTCTTCCCGACTGGGGCCCCCGTCGCACGTTGCACGTCGCCGATTATCTTCCCGACTGGGGCTACACGCACCACCGGCCGTTCTTCGATCCTGCACGGCCGAACTCGCTCGGGCCGCTAAAGAGCCCCACCGCGTCCACTTGATCGGTGGCCCAGCGCTGTTGGGCCCGCTGCCCGCAGCTGGTTTGGCGCGCCCAGTCTTCGAGCACCCTCGGCGAACGCGACGCTTGCGAGCCTGACCCGTCGGGCGTCGGCCCCGGGGGGCGCCGCCCCCTTGCCGGCCCGTCTGGCCCTCGCGGCGGCCAGCACTGGTCGCGTCGCGCGGCTTTCCGTCGCGGCGCCCAATGGCGCCGCGGGCCACTCCCCGAAGTCCACCTCCATGGCCGCGTCCGTCTGCGTCCCCGTGGACACCCTCTTGGGAGACAAGCCCCTCGGCATCGGCCCCGGGGCTGGAACCCACTCGGTCTCCGCCTGTGCGTCGTTCTCGCGCTGCCAGACCTCTCGGATAAGCTCTTCCATTGTTTGTTGCGCCTGCTGTCTGCTCTTGTCGGCGCGACCGTCCCGATCGCGGCCTCTTCCTGCCGCATCGCCAGCGCCATCTTCGTCGACCCCTTCGGCAGTGCAGTTCGCGGGTCGCCCTCCGCTGTCTGTTCCTCTTGGGAGGCGCCCTTCCTTCCCCGAAGCGCAAACGTCAATTGACCAACGGTCTCCGCTTCTGCTCGATCTCGACACCATCCCAACTCCTGCCTGGCCATCGTCTCCAGCTCGGCCTTGCGCGTCTGCCAGATGCTCCGGCGGCCTTGCCTCTGCTGGGGGGCCCCCGCCCCCCTCTTCCAGGGGCCCCGCCAGGAGCCCCTGGAACCACACCTTTCAAACCAGGAAAACCATTTGCTGGGCCAGCTTCCCTCGCACCGCCCCGGCCCGACACTGCGCGACAGTCGGGCGCCGCGTCGGCGCCCGCTCGCGCGCGAGCGCCCTTGCCGCCCAAAATCTCGCCAGCTCGTTGCGACGGGAGGTCGTGAACCGACAGGGGCCGCGGTCGCAGCGGTCGCCGCGGCCTCGTCTCTTTCGCCCCCCGGACCTCGCCTCGTTCGTTGTCGGCCCGCCGCCCGCCCTTGCGGGGCTCGCGGCGCGCGCCATCGCTGGACGGGCTGCGCCCGTAGAAAGCGATTTCGCCGCTGCGCGGGCACTGGCCCGCCGCCTCGCCAGCTCCCGCGCCGGGCCCTGTCAAGCCGCAGTCGAGGGCAGACGTCGCCGCGTGGCCCGAGCTCGGCCCCTTGAGGACTGAGGACGTGGGCCGCAACTCCCTTGCCGTTCCATTTCCCCGACGCCGCCGCGCGGCCGTAGATCGCGCTGCCTGGCCCGAACCGATAGGGCTCGCGCGACTTCGCGACAACGAGCTCCCATCCCGTCGTCTTCTCGACGCGCGACGACAGCCGCCTGTGCCAGGAAAGTCCCGCCGCGGACTTGGCGCGCGCGGCGTCGACCAGGATCGCCGCAGCTCGTCGCCAGTCTCGGCGATCAGCGCGCTCCATTGGCCCACGAACGCGGGTTGCTCCTCTAGCGTCGGCTCTGCCGCGCCGACGGGCTGACTCGCCGCGGGCGCCGGCCTACCCCCGCCCTCGCCAGGGGCCCTCGGGCTCTCCGGGCCGCCCGTCCAGCGGCCCA